GACGGCGACAGCCGCAAATACATGACGAGCGCTTTGGGTGACAAAGTAAGACAAATTTCCCCTACGTTTCATTCTACTCGAAAATAATTTTTTTTTTTGCCTTCACCGCCTTCAAACATTCAAGCTGTTTATCATCATTTGTTTTCTTTCTTGACTTGATATGAGATTGTGTTAACCATATTCACGGAAGTTTCCGTAGCGAATTAATCACATGCAATTGAAAAGTACTGGAATAGAAACGAGTTCCCGAGCCGGGTTTCTATACGATGAACTGACTACATCAAGGGAAAGTAAATGCCAGTGTATGGATGGAAGATTGTTTATTTGAATACATTAGCGCTTTGCTCTTTTTCTATTCTAGGTTACATTGTGTTATATACTCTACTTTGAAAACTGTATTTTTAATAGCCAATTACATATTTGTAAAAAATATGTATAAAAAACAGTCTGTGTCCAAATAAATAAAATGCCATAAAATGCCAAGAAAGTAGAAATCATTGCCGAGGTTTAGTTGTTCAACGCTGCTTGTTGTAATTAAAATTTCTCTCGCTGGCAGTTTTTTGTTCGTTTGTTTTTTAAGCAGCTTTCGATTGAAGGCAACTGAGCCGTGACGTCGTGGCTCCTGTCAATTTAGTTCACGCGCGTTTAAATTTGTATTCAAAAGAAAAGTTGCAGTTTTTTAGCAAAAAGTCAGCATGTTTAATTGGGGTTTCTGCCGTGACTCTTGTCAATTTGGTTAACAAGCGTTTAAGTTAAATTTAGGTTTTCCGATTAAGCGGAAGTTCGCTCCATTCTTCCGTACTCTGGCAGTACATTCAATTAAGTGATAACATTTTTGTTCGTCAGCTGTTGTTTCGCTAGTCAACTCAGTTGGTTTGGCTTCAACTGAGCTTTTACTAATCGTTAAGTTCTATTTCTGCCGGATCAGAAAACCCTATTTAACTACAAAGGTCCGATTCAGGCGAACGATCGGTATGCTAATTTAGGGTGAACGTAAAGTGGTATGAAATCACGCGTGTGAGATCATACCTAATGATGTACATGAAAAAATTACGCGCTTCTGATAGGCTGAAAACGAGTGCATTCTCATGTAACACAAGTGCTCACGCTTTCAAAATTTGAATTCGTTTGGCTTGACTTTCCCTGATGTTTTCTCGTGCACATCGTTAAAAAGTTATAACACGATATCTCTTGCAATTTGGTGTAAAGCACTTAGCACTTGTAAGTTTTTCAAAGACTAAAAATTGCAATTGCCCTACGAGCTCGTACAATTTTGTTGTCTTCGAAAAATTTACTCGTGTTTATTTACCCCAAATTGCGGTCGAAATCATGTTATTACCCAAAATGCACTCCACTCAGAGCAGTTATACAGTATGTATCATTACATATCTTCATTCCAATGTTCGAGGTCATCACCAATTAATCAACCTAAAGACAACTTTAGGATAATTTTCAGAAATACTGCTATCCCCACCATTCCGCTAACATCGTATTTTTTCTTAACCTTTTGAAAAGGTAAACTGTTTAAACGAAGAGATAGAGGAATTTTCAATATCCGCCATCTGTCGTGAGCCGTTCGCTATCCAACCCTCTGCATCAGCAAGTTACCAGTCTCCTCTCTAAACAAGTGAGCATTTCTTTTACACCAATACATCACCCTCTGCCACCGTAGTATTGCTAATCCTTTGACAGAAAACTCATTTCAGTATGATGTATTCATGAGACTGGTTCGGGGAGGTTTTCCCGGATTACTGGGACTAAACTATATAAAACCTCTATCGTCATCTCATTTGGGATTAGCTCACGTCACGCGCGGCTGGGGTTCTAGCTAAAATGTTCGGCGTGGTGCCTATGGAAGCACCAAAACCTTAATAAAATCGAAAGAAAAAGTCTTGAGACATCCCGATTCCCACCAAAAGAAGATTTTTTTAACATCTCAAAAGCAAAACTCGAGAAATCCAAAGAAAGATGAATAATTAGTAGATACAGAAGGGTTTATTATCTAACAGACTCCTTAAAGACCTTTCTAGATTAAATCCTGTTTTGTTGATGCGTCGGATCAGAAGCAAATGCTGTTCGATGCGTCCAAGGAAGGGAAAAAGTGCGAGTGTTTTTTTGATTGGCTCATAGCAAGTGACGTGTTAGTCCTTTTCTGTATTTATAGAATAACAGGTAACGTCTGTTATATTGTATTATCACATAAACTGCGGTGTTATATAAGGATTTCCGGCCCTGAGAAAAGCCGTAACAAAACACGTGAAAAAATATCGTATTTTTTCACGTGTGTTGATATAGCCAATCAGCTGCTTACACGTCTCTCGTCTTTGGCGCCATTCGGTCAGGTTGATGAATGAACGGCAAAGCCTTCACGATTCTCAATACAAGTTGTTTGTCGGAGTTTTTCTCGAATTATGGCGGCTAAAACACTAAAAAATACGTATCACTGGCAGACAATGAGGTTCAAACTTTCCTAGAAAGGGAAGAAAACCAATATACTAAAAGAAAAACCGAAAGTTGCGTATTGAGCGGCTTTGGTGTTAGCATTTCTCTCGTCTGAGACTTCTTCTGTCGGTAAGGACAAACTCAATTAATGAGAATTTTGTAAATTGAAAATTGCGACCATTGTTGTTTTTGTAATCATGATTCAACGCATTTTTCCATCTGCGTCAGTGTAATTAATCGTATAGTGCGCCAACGCACTACACGATTAATATTCGAGGATTGTCGATTCATTTATTTTCATTTATTAATGAAGTCAGCTTTTCTTCCCAATAAAGGGCTATTGTGTTAATATGACAAACAAAATAATACATGGTTGCTTGTAGATATGGAATTTCTCTTCTCGTGTTCAACTCGACATCTCACTCGTTCGCTGCGCTCACTCGTGAGCTATCGAGCTAAACACTCAAAGAGAAATTCCATATCTACGCGCGCCCATGTATTATTCTCTATTTCTCACTTTTTGCAGCTGGAAGTCAAGAAAATGAGGTTTACGGTTATGTGGAAGAGCAGTTTTCCGTTGAAGTAGCTATTCGCTGCTTTTTTTTTTTTTAAAGTAGGAGACGATAATAAACACACCACCAGCCTCAGCCACGGTCTGGTCACTTGCAAAACGTAGACATTGATCCCATTCAATAAATTTACCTCCTCGGTACACATGGCCACATGATTACTAATCAGCCGATCACAATCGTCTTTAGAGCAAGGGAAACCGCGAATGTTTAATGAATCGTATTATTTTGGCCAACGAGCTCTGAAATATTTCGAAATCTAAATGTGTCAAAAGAAATGCGAGGCGCATGAATATTTGCGGAGCATAGCTCGCTCTATGCTCTCGATACAGATTTAAAAGAAAAAACGTCCCGATATTTTCAAGCAGATTTTTGTCTTGAAAAAAGCTAACTTCAAAGGCACAAGTAGGTCTTTTAAAAGATGGAAATGCACCAAATCGAATGGGGCATCAAATCCACTTTTTCTTCTTTTTTAATACTCGATAAAGAGGCTTAAATACCTCTGTCACAATAGGGACGGTCATTCTCTTGCGACTCTTTCACAGCTCAGATCTTAAAGCATTGCTTTATAAAGAGTCATGTGACAAAGCGAACCTCTATCGATATGCCATCTTTTGAACCGTACCTTTCATTCTCCTTTACAAAGAAAACCTTTTCTAAACTGAGTTCGCACGTTCGGAAACGTCTGCGCAGACAAATGTTTGCTTAGCAAATGTACAAGACGACACAGTGATCGTATGTAAAAAAACAAATTAAAAAAAAGAAAACTGTGATCGTACCTCTAGGCGTACTGTAGGCTTCAAAGCCGATTTTGGTGTTTTGTTAAGCCTTGAAGTAAAGTAATACTCGGTGAAATCTCGAAAACTCTGAACTTTCTCGGCGAGTCATATTTCACTTTTACGCAGCATCAACACGAGTCATTTGCATTTTGATATAGTTTAAGGGAAAGTCCCCGAAGTCTGAATTCTAGTCAAATTATCAACGCAGTTACGTGATGTTATTTTAAAGTAATTTTAGTACCACAGAAAATCGCTGAACTAAGTTTACCTTTGAAATGATCGTTTGTAAAGGTAGACAAACACCAAAGGAATGAAAGGAAACAAACATTCCACTCTCTTGCTTGTAAAAGAAAGCGTCTATTTTAAGTAATGTATTTGCTTACTCAAGCAAATTCTCATGTGATCGTGTTATATAACTCACCTTCCACTCTCTTGCTTGTAAAACAAAGAGTCTATTTTAAGTAATTTATTTGCTTACTCAAGCAAATTCTCATGTGATCTTGTTATCTACCACACTTTGTTTCTATCCTCTGCGGTTTTCAAATATGGATAAAGATCCTTTTTTTTTTGTCAACATCTTAGTTCCGCCTAGAATTCTGAGTGGAGTTATTTCATATCTCGTCGAGGCGAGCTTGGTGAATATTTATTTGCATTTTAGACCGGTAAAGGCAATTTATTTGAAAAGTAATCATCAATGACGTTGTTTGTATCTTTTCAACCTTTTTTGGTTCGCTAGACCGCATTGAAAACTCAGTCTGGAGACAGAGTACTAGACATTTATTTAAAGAACTTCTACATACATAAGTGTTAGATTCTCTTCTGTGGAGAAAACCTTTCAGCCAGCAAAATATTTAAATAACTTTATACAAGCATTCTATCCTACGCTTTTCAAATTGTGAAAGTTAATCATGTGCAAAGCGCGTGATTTTCACTTTTTTTTTAGTTAAGTAGATCAATTGTGTCACATCTTAAATCATAAAACAATAACATAGTTCTTCCCGTTTGCAAATTACACATTTCTGAATAACTGGTGTTTAGAAAAAAAAGCTATGGCGTCATTTCTCAGAAATTAAAGTTCATGGATCCGTCGAGAGAGATAAAGAAAAAGTTTGGCAATGTATTAAATGAGATAAGAGGCACATTTCTTATAACTCTTCTACGACTGAATTAGAGCTTTCATGACAAATTTAAAAGAATAATAAATCCAGAAACCGCCTTTCGCCTTGACATAAGGTTAGTCTTTTCTACTTGAACATTTCTGTTCCGTTTCACTGACGCTTGTTTCACCGCTGCCATCATTGCTGGAGGCTTCAGACTCGTTGCCAAAAGGAGACTTTACATTTTCTCTGTGTGGAATATCGTGGCACAGCTGGTCAAGGAAATCGATGCGCTCTTCAAGCGAAGACAGCGCAGTGGTGAATTCATGATGCTGAGCAATTTCCAATGCCTCTTCGGCGGTTTTCTTGGCTAGTGGGTACATTGCCCTTCCCTGTCGATAATACTGATCAGCGCGGATTTTCAAAATCTGCAATCGCGTTCCTGGAGGAATAACATCAGCTAGTTGGTGCTCCAAAATATCGAGATGTTTTACTGCCTCTGCAATATCTTGCGGGGGAATGACTTTTATTCGAGTTCGTGCCACAGTTGATGTACAATCGAGTAAAAGAGCTGCCACTCGAAGGTGCCCATATATTTGCTTCTTAACTCGCACTCTCTCTCTGGGATCCTTCTTGCCCGCTTCAATTGTGTTTTCGAAGTATTTTTTTACCATCCTCTGGTATTTGTTTCGTGCTTCCGCATTTCTCTCGTCATCCGGAATTGTACTCATATGCATCAAATAAACTGAACCATAGTTGTAATAAATATTAGCCAAATCCTCCGGAGACTCGTGGTTTTGCAGCAAGGATTCGCCTCTTTCGAGACACTCGAGGAGAAGCGGAAGTTTTTTGCTATTTTTATATCTACAGGCCTGCACGAACCCATGGTAGGCTCGCGCTAATAAAACATTTGGATTGCGAAGCTTGGAGGTAGAGCCAAGTTTTATCGCCAAAGAGAACAGCTGCTTGCTTTTCTTTAAGAATTTTTCCTGGTAAGAAAAAGCCACTGCGCGTTCTATCATCATTGCCATTTGCATGTCAATGTTGCCTTCCCGCTTAAAATGTATCATGAACGGAGTAACCAAACGATCGTGTTCCTCAAACCGTCCATTGTCTTGTAAACCTACAAGGTGCTCCATGATTTTCTCGCATTGTTTTCCGTTGAGATATCCTGTTATTTTTATAATTGGCAACTGCGGCTCGATGCCGTGAACTGAGGTTAGAACTTTGCAGCCTTGTAATTCATCGAACGCTTGTACTGGGCTCTCAGTTTTACCCCTTTGTGTCTCGCCACAGTTGCCTTCCTTGGGGCTGCTATCACATTGAAGCCCGCCGTCGTTGCAGCAAAAGCTACGGCTTACTTGTTCTGTGTTCGACTGGCCGACTACAACGACGCTGCATTTTGCGAGTGTTAAGTTCATAGTATTTCGGTCGATGTCAACTTTAGCTTGAGCGATCAAGGAGGCTGAATCTTTTGGAGGAAAACTGAATAACAAGCCCTCAACATCGTGACATGATGGCCGTCCACGTTCTGTGAGCTGTTTTGAAAAATCATCAGCGGGGTTATGTGTACAATTCATTCCTGTCAGAATTTCCGAGTACGTTGTTGACGTCAATATCGAGGTAAAACCTCTTTGACTTTTTCCTTGTATGTATGGCTTGAACTTATTTGATTCAGTTACAATATGCGTCTGGGTTAACACCAGACTCCAGACGTTTCTCAGTGATATTTCCTCGAGGACTTGGAGTTGTTTACCCCTGTTTAAATATTCATGCGGTGCTTCGATAACAATGTGGTCAGGTGTTTGGAGTTTGTTGTCAAGGAAGTCGATTTTCTCACGTAGGGTTTCCATTTCTGTGTTGAATTGATGGAGGCATGCAAGCTGATAGGCATCCTCGGCTCTTTCTTTGGCCAGATGGAATCGTCCCTGACGATTAAGTTGATCCGATTGGGTTTTAACGAGTAGCATCAATGTTGCCCTAGGTATACTGCCACCGAGTTTGAACTGGATGATTTGAAGGTGTTCTTCGGCTTCTTCAATGTCACTGGGTGGAATTGGTTTTTCTTGAGCCAGTGTGAAGGTTGAAGAGCTATCTAGGAGTATTGTGGCAAGCTTGAGGTGGGCATACATTTGCCTTTTAATCCTAACTCGCCGGCGATGATCTTGTCGGCTGAAATAGATTTGCTCCCTTTGGACCGCTGTCTGATCTAACCTCGCCTTTGTTGAAAACCAGTTGTTGACATTCGACTTTTTCTGTCACTCTCTTTTGTTGCTCACTGCAATCATTAGAGTCGGGTTCTTTTGGATCATTTTCGCACTGAAGCCTGCGTTGGTCACAGCAATGATTACGTCTTACTCGCTCTTTGTTTGACTGGCCAGCTAAAATAATGCTGTAGTTGGCGACTGTTACGTTCAAAGTATTTTGTGTTAATTTTGATGACAAGTCTTTCCCTTCGTGAGATGATAGCTGTCCATGGTTAGTGAGTTCTTTAGAGCGATCTTTAGCGGTGTTAGATTTAGATGCCATTTCTGTTTTGCTTCGTGGTTTGTTGTCGACGTTAATATGTCCGAAATGCTTCTCTGATTTCGAAGCTATTTCCTTCGGGTGTAATTCAACAAAGGCTTGCGAGTTCCTATTTCAAAATTCATAAAGACTGTTTTGATCTGTTTGCAGGCGAGGGTTTCCTAGAATTGCAGTCGAAAAAGCAACTTCCATCGAAGAGATCCTTCAATATCCAATGTTATCTAAGGTAGATGCGGGTTACCAAGAAAGAGATATTTCTGAAAAGACGTCGAATTCTCTGTTTCGGCGATGAAGGTTGTTTATGTTTTTTCCCGACAGCACTATAAAGATATTCTGTTCCGTTTATGAGAGCCAGAGTTTCTTCTAGATTTAGCCGTGAAAAACGGTTTTCGTCGAGAGAATCCCAAGAATTGTTTTAAATAAAGCCATGTTTTCGTTTTGTTAAGAAAGTATGATACGTACTTTGTACTACGTTCTTTAAATTAGGAGAGGTGAATTGATAATTCATCATATCTTTCATCTGATATTTGCATATCAATTCTAACAAATCGGTTTAATTCCTCTGAGGGGAAGTCCCTGTAATATTTAAATCATAATCACGCATTACGTCAGTTATTGAGAAGCCCGCAGAGGGTAGCAACACAATTGAGAGAAATGGCAATCCCCTAATTCAAGATAATTATATCCATCCGTATTTACATCATGCACGGCTAGCTGCAATGCTAACGCGGATTGAATTTTTCAAGTATCTTGCCCAGTTTTCCGATTAGTTAAATTAGAGGGTTTAATTCTAAGTTATATCTATAGGAGGAAGCCAGACTTAAGCCTTCTCGGTTGTTTCTATTGTAAGGTGGGATAATGACTGAAGTTTAAATATATATAGAAAAGTGCTCACATTTATAGAAATAGGCATGATATTACTATCATTGTTCGCTTGACCCTAAGCACAATTGAAATTGAAATAGTAATTTCGCTGTCACACATTATAGACGACCACTTGTACCTTGTCGAAAAAATTATCACCGACCATTATTGAAATTGTAGTGCCAAGAAAGCAAGCGAACAGATAAATTGAGTAAATAATTGAAAAAGTAAATACACAACAGGGCAAAAGAATGATAAAAACAGGCAGAATTACTGTGTTTCCACATGTCATATACTAAGTATAGATGTAATATTCTTTCGATCTTGTAGTATTTAATTGTGATTCTTGTATAATCTTTTTCAAGTTTGTAATCTCGTGATCTTTACTCGGTGCCGCTACAGCAGCTTTCAGTATGTGTATCTTCTATTTCCATGATAGTAACTTCTTTGGCAACCTCAAGCTTTACGTCAAGAAACTGGATCCTCTCTTGAAGAGTGTCTAATTCAGTGTTAAATCTATTCGAGGAAGCGAGCTGAAAAGCCTCCTCGGCCGTTTCTTTGGCCAGTTGGTATAATCTCTGACGATAGAATTGATCAGATCGAGTTTTTAAGAGCTGTACCTGTGTTCCTGTGGGTACACTCTCACCAAGTCTGTACTGAACAAAATCAAGGTGTTCTTTGGCTTTCTCGATATCACTGGGTAAGACTTCTTTTTCTTGGGTGCGCGCGGCAGTTGAACTGCAGTCTAACAGCAGTGCTGCTAACTTGAGATAACAATAGGTTTGTTTTTTTATCTGAACTTGCGGTCGTTTATCCCTTTGGCAGAAAGAGACAGCTTGTTCATAGTAATATTTTGCTTTTTCCCGGGCGGTCTCTCGCACCTGCGCATTTCTCAGGTCACCTGGGATAATGCTTATATACTTCAACCAAACGGATCCGTAGTTGTAATACAGCTCGGCCCAGTCTTCTGGTGAATCGTGATTTTGCAGAAGAAACTCGCTGCGTTTAAAAAATTCAAACAGCGTGAATAACTTCACCGACTCTTTATTTCTGTAGTCAGCTACAAGTAAAAAATAGGCTCTTTCCGTTAAAATACTAGGATTCATAACATCACAATTTTATGTTTTCTCTGATTTTATAACCGAGATAAACATACGTTTGCTGTTTTTTAATTCTTTTTTGTACGAAGAGGCCACTCCTCGCTCCATTTTCAAGGCCAACTCCATGTGCGGATTTTCCCCATCTGCAAAACGTCGAATACAGGCAGTAACAGGGCGCTCATGTTCAGCAAACTTTCCTTCGTCTTGCAGAAGCTCAAGTTTTTTCAGGATTCTCTCGCACTCTTGTCCGTTTAGATATCCTTGTTTTTCGATCAAAGGCATTGGTGGGTCAACACTGGCAATGAAAGTATCACGCCACTCAGTCTGTGAACGTTGTTGCGTATCCCTAAAAGTTTGAAGTTGGCAGGCTACCAACTCCGCTGGTCGCTTGTGTTGGTCTAGAAGGCTGCCCTCTGTCTTTGGAGCAGAGTCTGATTGTACTTCACCCCCGTTGGCACGTTTTGTTTCCTGTTTAAGGAAGGTGTGCTCCCAGTTAGGCTGCTGCTGTTGGCGAGTGATTGTTGGACTATGACCAGACCCCTATTTTCGATCCTTAAGTTCAAATTTCTTGGTTCTGTGGCCTTGTCAGAAACTGAGATCGAATTCTCAGAATACAGTGTGTTTCCATTGTTACCAGCCTCGCATCTTCTTCGTTCCAGTTCCATCGGTAGCATTTCAACGGTTTCGTTCGATGAACACTGCCCTGTAGACTGCGTCTCATTACTACTCATCGTGAACAAATACTTTCCTCTCGCTCTTTCGTTTGTAATCCCTCGCAGTTTCTTTCTTTATACCAAATAAAACGCCGGAAGACAGGGAACATTGAGTTGTTTACAATGACAGACAAGTTTGAATTCAAGCCAACGTCTCTTTCTTTAATCTCGTCGACGCAAGTAGGTCCTCGACATATTTATGTGGTATTTTCCACGCAGTAAACTGGAACAGAAAATCATCAATGTTTTCGTCAGAGTAAAGACGAGACTAAATTATAGGCCTTCTCAACCGTGGCGGTAACAACATGTAGGCAGCTGAAATAATGAAATATTCATGATTCCGAGAAAGTACTACAAATACGCCTGCCAGCTCGAACGCTGAAGACCACGACGCGAAGCAGAGTGGTTTCCAGCTTATCGAGCGTTCTCCCAACCTCCCAAGTGTTTACATCAGGCTATGTAAATATGGAAACCATTTTACATTTCTTCACTATCAATCTTCTAATTCAGCATTGAGCACACGTCACGCATGTGATAAAGTACCGAAATTTGTCATGTGTCCCCTTTGCCCTTTACTTCCTCTTCTGTTACCGTCGTCATGACTACAATCATTGAGAGGCGTCCATCCAGTAACCCAAATTAAAAACTTTGCAATCGTCGGAACAGATTCTGTTACCTTTAAGGTGCAGAGAAATCAGATTGATGGAGTGATATCCTCAACTATCGCTTTAAGGGATTAGAAATGTTGAAATGTTTTGCAGTTTTCTGAATTCAAGCAGCTGCTGGATATTTTCTTAGTTTCAGTCTTTGAGGAACTTGAACAAATTTACATTAAATTTTGGAGACATTTTGAAAGTGTTTATTTAATTTTGCAAATTTCTAACGATGGATTTAGAAATAATCGCACGATTTTGAATGATTTCATGGACATCATATCACGTCATCAGCACATACTGATGCTTCGTCACTGGTCTGGTTAAACGCACGATGGGTCCAATAGCCATTCTGTCCTTGTTTCTAACGCATTCTAACGACAGCAATTTATGTAACTGCTCTTGGATACCAGTGTGCGATGAATCTTACAGTGTCCGCAGCAAAACTAGATTTCTCTTCTGTCCGTTTAAGTCTAAAGTTTGTTCCTCTGTAAACTAAAATCCGGCTCATATGGTACTAGAAATAAGGCTGTCACTTTCATTATCTTCCACGTCATCCTCACTTCCAGTATCTTCATTGCTTCTTAGACATTTTACTCAGCTTCCTATTTCCAGAAAGTTTTCTAGTCGCTCCACGACTATTGAGGCCTTCACACAGACATGCTTTGACGTTTTTTAAAAAAGACGTTCGTTTAAAAGTATATTCGATTGAGAAGACAGATAGAATTG